CCCCCGCCAACCGGGGAGGGGGCGGGAATTTAGCGGGGAAAGTGGTCAGTTTTGATTGTAAATATGTCTCCGATGGTGGGGGACATTATTTTCTCTTTTGGTAGACGAAGCGGGGACGAAAGTGGGGGAATGGATTCAGTGGTTAACATATATATCCTGTGTTGATGTTTTAATTAATCTTCTTTACAGGAAAAGTTTAAATACAATAACATAAATAAATTTGATTTTCTATTGCTGATCCATGAAATATACAAAGTTATTTTTCCAGGGTTGAGAGACATGCGGGGACATTGATTAATTACCCTTTCCCCGGGCCGGGGCGGGGACAATTTTGCTCTTTTACTACCCCTCTAAGTCAAAATCCCCGCCCCTCCCCGGTTGGGGGTTACATTGACTGGTGCATTAACCTCTTTGGAGAAGCCAGGTAAGCCGTTTCTCCCTGCTTCGAAAAGAAATCAAGGTCTGAACCGCCAGAAAGCCCATGATCTCGAGCTTCAATTTTGAATGTCTGGTTTATTCCAAGCTTGTTATTCCATTTTTCATTTTTTAATAATAGCCTTTAACTGAATATTGTGCTCAGCCTCACATTTAACACATTGAGTGGCAGCACTCTCCCCTTGACGAGTAAAATCATCTGGCTTTGGACAGATGGCACCTCAGAGCGCTTTGCCACTTAAACGATTACACGTCATTCCAAAGTTTCAGTTACATGTATATAGCTTCATAAAGTATATGGCAGGTTGTAAAAGATAAAAACTACATCTTAGATTGTTATGCTCTCAGTCAAATTACTGCTTATGCCCATGCATGCGAATTTCGTTTTCGAAGAAACATATACAAAGAAAAAATGGAATAAATTAAGACATGGACAAGGAAATATCAAGAAAATGTTGGCAATATACTTACTGAATACATGTATATCTCAATTATGTGCGGGCGTCACAAAATGTATGCGAAGAATACGTTTTTTAAATGGAAAACATTTAAAAGCAATAGGAAAGAAAGAGGACTTTGACCCATTGAGTGGCAGTACTCTCCCCTTAACAAATAATATCGCCCGGCGTTAGGCCAATTAAAATAATAAAGTAATGTGCATCAGAGCGCATTGTCACTTTAAAGGCTGATTTCCACTGTTACGTTTTTCGTACGCACGTACACGCACGTAAAACTTTGAATCATTCTATTTTTTAAATATTTTACAAATAAGTTAAAAATGCACACTAAAACTTGAGGAACACTAAATTTTGTTGCTTTAATTATTTATTTGGGCATTTCATAAGTAACAGTAGTTGAATTTTTTTAAAATTCTATTTATGCGTGCAATTTCTGGTTGTGCGTCTCGTCAAATGTTTGCCCACAATCGTTGCGAATATGAAATTCCTTCTGATCACTCATTAAAATGTTTTCCACCAATTGTTTATTCACAGGGAAAAAAGAGCAATCCATTGCTCCCAAATTTAGCAATGCACCATTACTGGCGTCAGCTTTATACGATAGACCATATAGGCCAAATAAAGACTTCCTTGCTGCCATCACCGAGAAACAGAATTACTGGTTTCCCACAATCTATAAAGAGTATGAAAAGTTGACATTGAGAGAGATGATGTCCAGAGCTGGAGGACCAAAGACTTTCAACTCACCTCCCCCAAGGTAAGACATATACACCGTAAAGTGTTTACATATATTGCCCCACATACTGTATACTTATATATCAAGATTTTAGGTATCTCGTTCGTTTTGGTTTGCTCAGTACTTTGAGTAAAGTCTCAAATTTACCTTTTTAAAAAATAATTTAAAGATTTACCTTACTCAAAAAAGTGAGTAAATTTGCTCATAATTTTAAGTAATTTTACTTTTGAGTCACTGTGGATGCGTTATTTTTCAAAAAAAATAACATGTATACGTTATAATAATAACTTTATTAACATTATTAACGTTATTATAATAACGTTATGTATGCGTTATTTTTGAGTCAAAAATATATTGCTAATTTAGTGGTCAATTCTGATGGTGATGATGTGCATGCATATATGAGTATTTTATATTTTGAAAAATACTCTTGAGAGGGTCCTGAAGGGGGGGTCCCAATCCCATTTCCCACCTAAAGTTTTGGCAAAATCCCAGTCCCAGTTGGACTTTTATTAGAAATCCCAGTCCGAGTTATTGAAATCCCAGTCAATAAAAAACCCTTTATTTATCAGTACAATAAACAGTTTTAAGACTTTTAAGCCATCGTGTGTGCAAGTGGCACATACTTTATAAAATTTGGGGGGGTTGTGCCGAAGGCACAGAAAATTTTTAAATTTGAATCCCGGAAATGGCATTTGCAGCATTCTGAGACACGCATAATCAGAAAACCCAGAATTCCGGGCGCCAGAGTATGCTTGTTTGCAGGTAGTGCTGTGAATAATATAGTTAACAACAAAAATCATGACCAAAGACACCAAAAACGGACCAAAATTGTATTTTAAAATACTTAAAACGTAGAAAAATTGGGAATCGACTCGCATTACCCCATTCCCATTTTTGAGGACTTCATTTCCCATTCCCAGTGGCCAAATCCCAGTCCCAGCAACCCAAATCCCATTTTCCCAGTCTAAAAATAGATCAATCCCAGTTCCCATTTTACCCCTTCAGGACCCTCTCTTGATTCCGAAACTGCGATCGCTAGGGGTCAGATTTGACTTCAAGGGACGTAACCAATCAGATGCGTTTGATATATC